TCCTTCTTTATGTCCTCCTTAAGTTCCTGAAACATTCTTATCATCAGTGTTCTAAACTCTGTCTCTGAAAGGTTGGATACCTCTGTTTCATTTAGTTACATTTCTTGAGGTTTCTTCTGATCTTTTACTTGGGAAATGTTTCTTTGTTTCTTCATCCTGGCTATCGCTCTGATTGCTTCGGTGTATTAGATCACCTAGAAAGAAAAAAGAAAAAAGGAAAAAGAAAACAAAAAGAAAAAAGAGAAAAAGAGGAAAAAGAGAAAAAAGGAAAAAAAAGGAGGGGCTCTCTGCCCACTTTAATCTGCAGACCACTTGCTCAGCAATAGATTCTGGACGACTCAGCACCAGCTGCTGGGGGAAAGGGCTCAGTGAGTCATGCGCCAACCTCCCTCTAGACTTGAAGTAAGCTTCCCACAATTAGTTGCTGTGTGCGCTGGAACTGTGCTCATCACCAAAAATCCACACAGGTTGTTGCGGGCTGTCTCCTGCTGCAAAAAACCCTCTGTGGCCTGCAGAGGTAGGAACTAGGGACCAGGGGCTCAGGGTGCCCCTGGCAACATAGCTCTAGGTGGGCGGGGCAAGCCCCCAAGTCACCACAGGGTGTGGTCAGTGGCTCCCACCAAGTCAGAGCAGCATGCACTCCTGCATCAGCAGCCAACCCACACAAACTTGCCTGGAAAGCCCCGTCTGAATCATGCAGGCACACAGCTCGCCGCCCTACACTCCCAGGAAAACTCCCTGTCTCAGCCTGTCCCAATCAGCTGCTCAAAGATCAGGCCGAGCAGCCGGACAGCCAATTGCCACCAAGACAACTCTACACGTGCAGTGCGGAAATCAGGGACCTAAGGCGAATCGCGCACTTCCGGGTCTCAATAAGCAGTCTGTTGTAGTCAGAACGCGCTTGCCTGGCGTTTCCCTGGCTACGTCTGCATGCGCACGCACGCACGCACACACGCACTCCTGCGCCAATTCCAGCAGCCCAATACAGTCCCAGACCTGAGCCTCTGTGGGAGGGCCCAGCCCTGAAAAAACAGCGGCCTCCTGTGCACTACTCGTGTGCAGGCTCCACACCAGGGGAACAATGATTTCAAAAACCTCCAGCTCCCGCGCCAAAGGCACTCAGTTCAGTCCTTCCCGGAGGCTCCTGGGCTCCACTCACAAAGCTACTCCCTCCACCAGGAACCAGGTGAGTGCTCACCAGCGAGCGAGTCGGTTTGCCGGCTCCACTGTTTATCCAGCTGCCCCCAGCCTCACTGAGCCGAGCAAAGAGAGTCCTCACTATTTTCTCCTTCCAGCTATCGTAGAACTGCTCTTCCCAGCAACGTAACTCTGGGGTGGTGAGTGCGGTGTGGGGCCGGAGGGTCTCGCCCCGACCGGAGAAGCCTCCCCACCGCTGAGGTGTCCCTCACAGGGTTTGCCCTCTCTCATCTCTGCCCCTCCTACCGGACTTGACGTGGCCTCCTCTTTAAGTCCTTCGTTTAGAGGTTCTGCTCATCTAGGGTCCAGGGAACTTCTGAGGTTGAATATCTTATAATTTATTTGTAATTTTGGTGTGATCCTGGGACGTAGTTGGCACAGCGTCTGTCTATTCCGCCATCTTACAGGAAGTCCCAAATACCTCATTTTTTAAATCTATGGTTTCTTTTTTTTTTTCTTTCAACATGTAAATATTTTATTTACTTGGCATGTGTTTTGAGATATAAGGGTCTGTTTTTCTTCTCAGTGTCTGCCCAGTTGCCTTTGCATCCTTTATTGAATAATTTATCTTTTCTCTGCTGTTATGCAGTGCCATCTTTATCATATATTAAATTCCCATATATGTATTTGCATCTATTTCTGGACTTCATTCTATTTTGTTAATTTGTATGTCTGTTTACATGTCAGTGTCATGCTTTTTATTTACTAGCTTTATATAAATCCTCTGATAAGATCTTTCTTTGGAATTTGTTCAGTTATCCTTGTGTGTTTGTTTTCTGTGTGAATACCAGAATTGGCTTGTCTAGTTCTAAAAAAGCTCTCTTTTCTTTGGGATTGTGTTAAATTTGTAGATTGATTTAGAAGAATTGACATCTCTCTGATATTGATTCTTTCTGTCTGAGAACAGTGTATGTTATTCCATTGATTCTGTCTTTCATGTCCCCCAGAAGTATGTGGTGTTTTCTTTATGTTGATAGTATATATTTCTTACATTTATCTCTAAGACTTTTACCTTTTGCATTGCTGTTATAAGTGGAATCTTATGAGTATTTGGTATCTAGCCAGTAGGTTTGGGGGATAAAAATCAACAGTGATTTTGGATGTGTTAGTTTCTGAGATGCTTGAAATGTCAAGTAGACAGTTTGATATAGGAGGTGCAGCTCAGAGGAGTGGACAGGGCTAGAGAAATAATTTGAGTCTTCACTTCTGATGTGGGATGTAATCACCTGAAAAGTGTGGAGTATATATAGGGGAAATAAAAGGGCTGAAATAGGTAGGTTGGAAGAGGAGGAGCCAGAACAGGAGATAGAAAAGGAGCATCCAAAATGAGTTAGAAAAGCAGGAAAGAGTAGTGTTTTAGAATCCAAGAGAAATATTTCAAGAAAAATTGGGCAGCTCATGTCAGGTGGTTAAGTGAGACAAGGACAGAGAACTGACCATTGGATTTGGCAAGACACAAATCGGTAGTGATCTTGCTGATGTTATTTTAATGGACTGGTGGGACAAAACCTGATTGGAGCACAATAATGAGCAAATGGGAGGTGAGAAATGGAGACAACTTTTTTATATCTTTTTATTTATTTATTTATTTATTTTATTTTTATTTAGCTGAGCCATCCTGCTACCTGTTGGCAGCTCAGCGGCTGCTCAGCTCGGGCAGGGACTCAAACTGCTGTTGTTCAGAGCTCAAACTCTTGAGTGAGTTCTTAACCAACTGAGCCACTCAGCCGGCCCTTGATATCTTTTAATGAGAAAGAAAGAGAAATAAAGATGCTACATGGGCCAGCAGTTGTTTTTATTTATTTTCTTTGAAGATGGATTGCATTAAGACATGTTATTTTATGCTCATGAGAATAATTTTGAAGAGTGAAAAATTGATGGCATAGGCAAGATGGAAATAATTTTGGTGTCAAATCTTTGTGCATGTACAGGAATTATATACATATAGAGCAGAAGTAAAGATGTTGGCTTTAGATTAGAGCAGAAAGGAAAGCAGAGTACACCGATGCAAATACAAGTAGGCTGGTAAATTTTGTTACGAAGAATAGCTATAGTTTTCAGTGATCAAATAAAGTGATCAAATGAGAGGAGTAAAAAGATGGCAACTAAAGTTGAGGAGAGAAAATTATGAAATAGTAGTCTTTAGAGCGAATTCATTAAGTAATGTAGTAGGATGGCCAGGTACAGCTGAATGCCCTTTTAAAATTTTTTGGCAGATACTGAATGTGAGACTCAATTAGTCTTAATATTCAGATGTATGGGGCATGAAGTAGGGTTTAACTAAGGTAGGGGTTTTGCCAGGATGAAGTGATGGAAGAACATTGACGTTGCTGGGAATGGTAACAGGAATAGAGATAAAGATAATGATAGAGCAAGTACCGAAAATAACATGGAAGAAAGAATAGTAGCACTAGCTCTTAGAGAAACAGTTATAGGAAGTGGTACCAAAAGTTCAGGCTTTAGATGAAAACGAACCGTGTTTTCAGTCACGAGCCATACGATCTAGATAATTTACTTGTCTCCTCTGTGCCTCAGATTCATCTGAAAAATTGGTACAATCTGAAAAATAGGCATCTGTCATAGGAGTAATATTTCAGTTATGTTTAGTTTCATTAAGATAAAGTATGTAAAGCAGTTAACCATGATCTTGGCCACAGTTGTTACTTTCCGGGTCAGCCTCTCTTCCCCTGCTCTCTCTCTTGCTTTGCTGCCAATTCACCCTATTGGCTGTCTAGATAATTGCTACTAGTGTTGTGTGCCCCTCTTATATTCTCTTGGCTCTCACAGCTTTATTTTTGCGATGAATTCTCTTGATACATTCTTTCCTGGTTGGGTAAAATATTTGAGATGGACTCATTCCTTCTGAAAGAGACATATTCTGATTTGTTTGGTGCCATTATATTTTATGTATCTTTTCATTAGCTGGTTACACGAAAATGGCTGTCTTTTTCCTCTCACATGAGAATCTAATGCTTGAAAGAAAGCAGATACTGACTTGTGTCTAGAAATATTCTGATCTGAAATGGTATGTTGGAAAGAGAGCCAATGATTTCTTCAAAGTATTAGGACATATGGTTATAATATTATTGTTATCCTCTAGCCACACTGACTTGCTCAGTGGCCTAGAACAGCAAACTTTTTCTTTGTCTGGCATATTCTTTCCCCCACTCTCACCCTACCCCCCTTTTGGTATGTCCCTATTCCTTGCTTGGCTGGTTTATCCTCTTTTTCTTCTGTCTAGTTTACATATTAACCTTTATATGGAGGCTTCTTCTCCCACCTTTTCTACAGTAAATTCTGAAGCTTTTATGTGTTTCCTTCAGAGCATTTACCAAAACTTAAAATTATTTAGTTGAGAAAAACCAACTATGTTTTCATCTGTCTCTCTACCTGAATAAGTGCCTGATTTCCAGAAGGTACTGACTAGACAGTCTCAATAAATGAATAATAGAATATCTGATATGTACTTGACTGTGAGGTGTATTAATAAGTACAAATAACTAGATTAAGTGCTCATTAAACTTGAATTTTTTTTCCATTAAATCTTTATAAAACTCCTAAGAGATAGGTGTTGCTCATTTTATAGAGAGAAATGGATCACAAAGCTTTTAAATGTTAGAACTTGGGTTTGGAACCCAGGTTTGATTCTAAAGCTTTTCTTAGCTGTTGCTTTCCTTTTACTGGAAGAGAGTTAGTCATTAGGGCATCTAACTCCCTGTCTCTTTGGTTTTTAGGAACTCCTAGCAATAGTAAAACAAAAGACTACTGAGAATTTAGATGATGTCACCTTCTTGTTTACTTTGAAAGCACTTTGGAATCTTACAGATGAGTCTCCAGCTGCCTGCAAGCACTTTATTGAAAATGAAGGATTGGCAATCTTCATTCAAGTCTTGGAGGTGGGAAGACAGGATTGAGTTTATACGTAAAGTTCTTTTCTCCGTGATAAAGTAACCTGTATATTCTTTTTTTTTTTTTTTAAAGATTTTTATTGGGGAATTGGGGGGATGGGAACAGCGCTGGGGAATTGGGGGAAGGGGAACAGACAAGTTGCTGTCGTTTTTGTTCTTCAGTCTAGTTATGGAGGGCGTTGCTTCACTGGCCCAAGTTGGCACCATCATTGCACTCCTCCCGGGCAAGGCAGATCAGTCACCGGCTTCTGGACGGTCGCTCACTGCGGCTGCTGGCCGCTCACGCTGGCTGCTGGCTACACACGGTAGCCCATGGCAACCCACTGCCACAGGGGCTGCAGCCTACGCTGTCACCGGCGACTCACGGCAGCCCAGCTCCAGGTTGAGCTGTTGTTCAGCATCTTAGCTGTGGAGGGCAGTGTCACTGGCCCTCATATGTGGGATCCGAACCGGGGCCCTCTGGCGTCCCAAGCCAGTTCTTAATCATCGCGCCACTCGGCCGGCCCAAAAAGTAACCTGTATATTCTTTTGACAGACTTTTTCAGAGTCATCAATACAAAGCAGAGTACTTGGTCTTTTGGTAAGGCGAATTGTTTTGTGTTAATTCTAATTACTTGAAAATAATAATAACGCTAACACTTATGTAGTACTTACTATATGCTAGGCACTTTTATAAGCAATTGACATGTATTAACTCATTTAATTTTCACATCATCCCTATAAAGTAAATACCATTATATATTAGTCATCTATTGCTGTGAACATACTACAGCTTAAAACAACAGCCTTTTTATTTACTTATGAATCTGTGGATCAACAGTTTTAACTCAGCTATATAGTTCCGCTGGTCTCCTGGGGGGTTACTCATATAGCTGCAATCATCTGGTGGATCAGTTAGAGCTAGATGCTGTAAGATGGCTTGACACACCTAACAGTTGGTGCAGCTGGGCCTTGTATCTCCATAGGTTTCTTCACTTGGCAGTTTCAGGAACAGTATCAGGCAAGTCCCACTGTACAAGTGCTTCTTAAACTTCTGCGTATGTCACATTTTCTAATGTTTCTCTGGCCAAAGTAAGTTACATGGGCTGGGGTGTTTTCCAACAACCGCTTCTCCAACTGGGTGTCCTGCAATTCAATTCAATTCTGACATCAAATTCCTGGAGTTAGCATCAGATCCCACAAGTTAAAAGGCTCAGTTTCACAACACTACTCTCACTTCAGTTGACAATTGTAAGTTCTGGGCCACCTGCACTTCTGACTGACTGACTATAAATTGGGAGTTTCCATGACCCCTTCCTTAGGATGATAATTTGTTGGAATGGCTCACAGAATTCAGGAAGGCATTTTACTTGGCTATTACCAATGTATTATAAAGGATACAACTCAGAAACAGTGAAAGGAAGAGATGCATAGGGCAAAGAAGGAGGGGTGTGCATTGAGCTTCCATGCTCTCGCTGGGCACACCACTCTCCCAGCACCTGGATGTGTTCACCAACCCACGAGTTTTCTAAACCCCATCATTTAGGGGTTTTGATGGAGGTTTCATCACATAGGCATGCTTGATTATTAATTCAATCTTCAGCCCCTCTCCTTTCCCCCAGAGTTTGAGGGTGGGATTGAAAAGGCTTCTAATCAAGGTTTGGTCTTTGTGGCATCCAGCCCCCGTCCTGAAGATGCTCTTATCATTCCTGTCGGGAAATTCCAAGGGATTTAAGAGCTCTGTGTCAGGAACTGGGGACAGAGACCAAATAGATATTTCTTGTTATGCCCATGATTAAGCCCAGATTAGAAGAGGTGGCCATCCTTTAATGGGAGGAGCAGCAAGGTCACTTTGCTAAGGGTACACAGGATATGAAAAATTGTGTTATGTTCTATAGTCTACCATATGTTGTTATCTACATTTTATAGACATAGAGTCTGAGGTGCAAATGTGCCATTTACCCTATGTTACCAAACTCAGGCAGCCTGGCTCCAGTTGGACCCTCTGATAACCACTTTACTATACTTCCTTTTTAACAAGGTAATCCATTTTTTAAGAAATTTCTTTGTTTATACTTCTATACTACCTCTTAATCTGGATATTCATTATTGAGAAATTTCTTTGTTTCCTAAAGATAAAGGTGAAGATTTACAAAAAGTAATGAAGATGTACTATAAGCCCCTGAAGTTTGTCATGCTGATGCTTTTCCCACAGATGCATGAAATATATCGAGCTGATGGTGCTTATAATGTTGGGGAGGTGGTGTTAGACATACAAGTATTTACAAGTAACTCTCTAAGATTGACTATGGTAAGTGCTAGAAAAGAGGCACTAAGTCCAGTGGGAAGAAGAAAAGCAATGGGAAATCAGTCCAGAAAGGTGGATTGAATCCTCATATACCCTATACAGTGTTAAGTATCCTTCTACTAGCCGACCTAAGATATCTTTTACTTTGTATCTTTTTGAGAGCCTCTCAGAATAAATACTACCTTCTGAGGTTGTCCCTTTTCCTTCTTGTGAATGAAGACGACCCACAGTCGCCTGTAGCTCCCATCTTCTCAACATTTTGTTCCATAGACTCTTGGAAAGAAAAAGCTGTTACAAAAGTAGCCTCTGCCAACCTTACAAGAGAAATCTTGGGACTCAACCAAGGTGTTTCTCAGTTACATTAAGGATGCTATCTATCATCTTGTTTCTTTTTCTTTTTTTAAAGGTTTTTATTGGGGAATTGGGGGATGGGAACAGCACTGGGGAATTAGGGTAGGGGAACAGACAAGTTGCTGTCATTTTGTTCTTCAGTCTAGTTGCGGAGGACGTTGCTTCACTGGCCCAAGTTGGCACCATCATTGCGCTCTTCCTGGGTGAGGCAGATCAGTCGCCAGCTTCTGGACAGCCGCTCACAGCGGCTGCTGGCTACACACGGTAGCCCATGGCAACCCACTGCAGCAGGGGCTGCAGCCTATGCCATCGCTGGTGACTCACGGCAGCCCAGCTCCAGGTTGAGTTGTTGTTCAACATCTTAGCTGTAGAGGGCAGTGTCACTGGCCCTCATATGTGGGATCCGAACTGGGGCCCTCTGGCGTCCCAAGCCAGCTCTTAACCAACGTGCCACTCAGCCGGCCCTCATCTTGTCTCTTGTTTGGGGGCTGTTGTCTGAGAGACTTAATGCTGAAATCATGCTATTAACACAGTGTATATAGAACTAGCCTTGGGGGAAAGCTGGGGGATCTTAAACAGGAAGCTTTTGCCTAAATCATGCTATTGACAGGAGGGGTATAACTGGTCTTGGGAAGAACTGGGGGGTGGTTTCAAAACAGCACAATTGTCTACATAGTGCCATATGGTGTTTTTCAACATACTAGTATAGGGCGTGTAATTTTCTGAAAGCTGCTTCAGAAGGATCAGTACCTTGACTGTGTTTCACCTCTGTGTTCACTTTGACTATGTTTTGCCTCTAAACCTTTGATTTTTCATCAGTGTGATGGATATACCTTAAAATTACCCCCCCCCCCATGATTCCAGTCTCTTGGTGTTCATGTCTTTGTGTAACCCCCTCTCCTTGAATGTGGGCAGGACCTGGACTTGCTTCTAACTGATAGAATATGGCAAAAATAATAGGATGTCACTCCTGTGATTTTGTTTACACACACACAACATAAATCCGTCTTGCTAGCAGACACTCTATAGAGAGACTCTTCCTGGCTTTGAAGAAGCAAGCTGCCATGAAGTAAGTGGTTAGAGAAGGGAGACACCCACTTGACAAGGAGCTGTGGGCAGTTTCTAGCTTAGTTCCAGCAAGAAACTGAGACCATTAATCTTGCAGCCACAAGGAAATGAATTCTGGCAACAGCCTGAGTGACCTTGGAAGTAGATTCCACCCTCTACCCCTCAGTGGAGCCTCCATATGGGAATTTCAACCCAGCTGGCATTTTCACTGCAGCCTTGTGAGACCTCAGAATAGAGACTCAGCTAAGCCATGTCTGGGCTCTTGACTCACAGAAACCTAGAGAAAAATGTGTGTTGTTTTAAGCCACCAAGTTTGTAGTAGTTTGTTACACAGAATAGAAAATGAATACAATATATAAAATAAAATAAAGAAAATACTGCCTGCCTTTCATTGTTGCTGTTAGACTTGAAGCTAATATTACATATAGCAGGCCCCCAGGAATATTAAGTATTTGAATCAGGCCTGGGTTTGTATTCTGTGTAGTTCAACCATGTATTAGCAGTGTGAACCTGACAAGTTAGCCTTGCTGAGTGTCAAATTTTTTTGTATGACTATTTTAAAGATTAAATGAGACAAGGTAGATCAAAAGACATTTTGTCTATCTAGTACAGTGCCTGGCACTTAGTAAGTGCTTACTCAGTATTTTGTTATTACTGATCATCCTCATCATCAAGGGGTGGGGGGATTGTGGATGTTAGGCTAAATTGAGAGGGAGGGGGGTGGGACTGAGTGTTCTGAATGTGTCTAGCTGAGCACTAGGAGAGGGAGAGGAGCCAGTTCCGGACTCCCCTCCTTTCCTGTCCTTGATACTCTGCTCCATCTGACCTGTAGAACAACATAGCTGAAGTCAGAGAACTGTCTTCCAAGCTGGTGACTGAAGATGTGCTGAAGCATGTCAGCGTCTTGCTCCATAGCAAAGAGATAGAAGTCAGCTATTTTGCTGCAGGCATCATAGCCCACCTGACATCTGACAAACAGCCCTGGGTTTCCGGTGATCTTCAAAGGAGTGCTCTTCTCCAGGATCTGGTACAAAATCCAGAGTAATCTTGCAGAAAACTTATTTTCTAGATTATAAGAATTTTAGAAATATGTGTTTGTTCATTGTAGAAAATGGGAAACACAGAAAAGTATAAAGTATTGTAAATCATTCATACCCTACCACCCAAAGTTAACCTCTGTTAACATTTTGTTGCATTTCTTATATTTTTCTTTTATAAAGTTATAGATGCAAGCAGTTGTATATGGCTTATTCCAATTCTTTCCCACTTTCAGCTCTTTTTAAAGCTATTTCTTTTGGTATTTACCTCCATATCTCTAAATAATATGTGTTGCTCCTTTGTGACTTTGCAGTGGTAGGCATTATTTATCAATTTCCCCATTCTGGAAAATGAATATTCTTTTTCTCACTGTCCCTATGCACACCCTTCCCTATACTCTAAGTATAAATCCCCTTTTGGTACATTCAGACATATTCTATTCACTTGAGTTTCTCAGAGACTCCTTTCCCAGAGCCTTCTGTCTTTTTCTCATCTGGTCTGCTTTTTTTTGGTATATCTGCTATACTGCTGTCATCCCATGATATTCCTTTACTATAATCCTGGGGATTCTTTTTGCCTCTCTTGTATTGGATTTTCTGTTTCCTGGATTACATGCCTCCCTGTTTCATTTTGTTTTCTTTCTGTATTCCCTCAATCTGTTGGATCGCATCCTCAAGTTGCTTCCTAAGAAAAGATGCACAAACAAGAAAATTTGAGACCTTACCTGTTTGAAAGGTCTTCGCATTTGGTTGATGAAATGGCTGAGTATAGAATTTTCATTTTGAAATACTTTCCCTTCAGAATTTTTAAGTCATTGCTACATTGTCTTTTACTTTTCAGTATCACTGTTGAGAAGTCCCATGCTATTTTTTGGGAAGCTTTTAAGATCTTTGTTCTCAATGTTTGGAAATCACAGTGATGTACCTTGATGTGGATATATTTTCATCTGTTATGTTTGGCTACTTATGACTCTGGAAGCTCATTTCCTTCAGCTCTGGGAAATTCCTCCCTCCCTCCCTCCCTTCTTACCTTCCTACCTTCCCTTCTTCTTCTCTCCCTTTTGGGGGGATTGGTTCCACCAGACTCTTCTTACCTATTTGTCTTTTTAAAATATTTTTCAACTTCTACTCTTTCTGTTGGATTTTGCATTTCTGCTATTATTAATTTCCAAGAACTCTTTTTTTCGTTGTTGTTCTCTTGAGTGCTTTTTTAAAAATGCAATATCTTATTGTTTCATGGTGGCTATATCTATTATCTCTTTAAAGGTATTAATGATAGTTTAGGATTTTGTGTTTTTTTGTTTGTTTGTTTTAGCTGAGCCATCCTGCCACCTGTTGGCAGCTCAGCGGCAGCTCAGCTCAGCTCAGGCCGGGACTCGAACCGCTGTTGCTCAGAGCTCGTACTCTTGAGTGAGCTCTTAACCAACTGAGCCACTTGGCTGGCCATTGGGATTTTGTTTTAAGTGTTTCTCTTTCCCCAAGGCCTCTGTTTCTGGCAAGTTTCTTCCCACTTCCCATTTTTGTTCCTTGATGTTACAGATTTTCTTAAACTGTATGGTGATCTTCAGCTGTCCCTTCATATCTAAGAGTGGGGCTGTTTGAAAGCTGTGTGTAGATGGGTGGAACTTGTCAACTGTGGGCTTCACTATAGAGTGATCTGGATTAGTTGTGCCTCAATATCAGTGTCATTAGATCTTTTGTTCTGAACTGGTTGGGATTTGCCTGAAGAAGAACCTTCTATTCTCCTGACTGAAAACTATAAACTTAGCTGTCAGCAAGCAGTTTGAAAGCCCACTAGAGGAAGACAGTTGAGGGCAGGGGAGTCTCAGCATTTAGTATTTAGATTTTTTACTTCAGACTCCTGTTTTTAGCATGGTACTCCCACCCTTAATTGTTCATGGGGTTGCCCAGTACAAGAGATTTTGTTAGGGGTGGGAGAGATCTGGGAGTCTTGATTATTTGGTACTTTCAACCAGTCCTCCTGTTTTCAACCTCACCCCCTAATTCTCACTTCCTCAAGTTCTTGGTATGCCAAATTTTTAAGTCTCTTTGGGGTTCTGTTCAAATTGGTTTGTTTTTTAACCTTCCCCAGTGCTAGATCTGTTTAATCAGTTACCCTTTTCCTTCTGCTTTGTTTTGTGTGTGTGTGTTTGCCTTCTTTTATTTTAAACCATTTATACTTTTCCGTTCATGGGATTTAGGGAAGGAGTGGATGCATGCATCCTCAGTCCTCCATTTTTAAACAGAAGCCCCTTTTTATTGCATTGTTTTCCATGTGACCTTGTTCATGTTCTACATATATAATGGTTATCTAATTGATATTTTGGCAAGTAAGTATACCTAAATTTAAGTAATCATTCCCATATTTTGAAAATTTATGTTGTTTTATGTATATGTAATTATAAAGGACACGGAACAGCCTATTGTGCCCTTTTAAAAATGATAGAATACAATACTAGAATCCTGGTTTCTCTTTTTGTATAGTATACGACCATCCAGAATTGGCCAAGTTCAAGTTGTAAGATGACAGCATTAGTGACCTACAGGTAATTCATGATGGTGTGCTTTTCTTTTTCTTCTTCTTTTTTTTTTTTTTTAGCTGAGCCACCCTGCCACCTTGTCACCTGTTGGCAGCTCAATGGCAACTCAGCTCGGGCCAGCACTTGAACTGCTGTTGCTCAGAGCTCGCACTCTTGAGCAAGCTCTTAACCAACTGAGCCACTTGGCCAGCCCTGGTGTGTTTTCTTAAAGCTTGTCCTTGGTCTATTCACTATGTAGAGGCCATGATATAGTGATAAAATATTAGAGTCAAAAGGCCTTGTGTTCAAATCCTATTTTTTGTGTGTGATATTGGGAATTCACTTTTAGAAAATTTCTGAGACTGTTTCCGTCATCTGTAAAATGAGGCTGACAGTATACAAGATTAAGGATGAAATGAGATTGAATGTATAAAGTATGTAACTCAGAATGAAATTTCTTAAATGCTAGTTCCCATTGTATGCTCAATAATATATCTGCCCAAGTGAGGAATTGACCCTGTGGGGAAAATGTTGAAAATAATTATTATATCCCTGTTGTTAGTCTGAGCTCTGAATGAACATCTTTGTATCTTTTTAGATCCTTAAGGGCATTTTTCCCACTCCTTGGCAACTTCTCTCAACCACAGGTCCAGCTCTGGGCAGTATGGGCTTTGTATCATGTCTGCGGCAAAAACCGTATGTATTCAAAACATAATAGTTTTCCAGCTATTTTTCTGTAATAAGTTCAAGATGGAATTTGTAAAAATTGTTCACCTGTGTCCTGAATTTAACTCCTTTGAAAAAGAAACTGAAAAACGTTTTTACTAGTTTACAAAAGGCTACAGAATTATAATATATTTGGGGGGTTAATGTCAGACAATATAGAAAGTGAAAGTTTGCTCTTTCACTCCTATTTCCCACAGTCAAGCACTGTTAATAATTTGATAACTACAGCTATTCTAGATATTTCTATATACATACTATAGTTAGTATGTACTGTACATGAATTTAATGTTTTTAAACAAAATGGGCTAATTCTATGCATTCTTTTGTATAGCTTGCTCTTTACACTTAACAGTTTAACATGAATATTCTTCCTATAGTGATACATAGATCTGCCTCTTTATAATGGTTTGTGGGAAGCTGGTGGGGCCAGGAGTCAGGAGTTTTCCAGCCAGATTAAATGTTTTTCCATGTTGTGCTGTTTTAAATTCCTCTGTGAGAATTTTTGGCTTATATCGTTTGCTGAGGATGATTGTAAAATGTTTGGCTTTTATTATAAATGAAATATAGGCTATAATTTTATACTAAAAAAACCTAAGAGATAACTTTTAGAATTAAGATTTAGCTAGCAACAAAAGCATAAAATATCTAAAAATACCTTTAACAAATAATGAGACTTATATGCAGAAAACTATAAGAAATAACTTAAAAACCTGAAATAGTTATGAAACACACTATACTCCTAGATGGAAAGACTTAAGATACAGGTGTCATTTCTTTTCAATTTATGGATTTATATAATACAATTCAAATGAATGAGTAAGAGATGAGGGATCTGAAAAATTAATCTGAAGTTAATCCGGCAGGATACAAAGGAAAGATCTGACCAAGATACAATGGTTTTTAAGAGCTTGCCCTAATACTTCTCTTTAAATTATAAAGTACTGTGAATGGTGCTGTCATACGAATAGAGACAGGCAGAGCATTTGGTCAGAATGGCCCTGAAACAGATTCCACTATATTCAATTACAACAGCAGTAGTTATATCAACTATTGAGTTGTCAGAAAAGTCATGACGTATTTTTTCTGTTTATCATTGCAAAAATCCGTCATGACTTTTCCAACAACCCAATAGAACTTAGTTGAGTACTTACTGTGTGCAGGCAGTGTACTCGTTATGAGATTGCATTTAATCTTCACAATTTCTAGAAGACGATAGCATTATTATTATTATCATCCATCTGTTAGAGATGAGAAAACAAGGCACAGAGAAGTTACATAACTTGCCCAAAGTTAAAACAGCTAGCACTGGCAGAACCAGGGTTCTATCCTAGTAATTTGACTCCAGATCACCACTGTTAATTAAGCTGTTCAATATTTATTCACTATGTGGATATAATAATTTATTTAACCAGTCTCCTTGTTTAACAATTGGACATTATTTTCAATCTTTTCTATTGTAAACATGGGTCAGTGAATAATGACATACGTGTGTGTGTGTGTGTGTGTGAGAGAGAATAATGACATATGTACGAGTATGTATAATACACACACAACACACGTATATAGTAAAAATAGGAGAAAATGTATATGTGGTAAGAGGATAGATGCCAGAACCAGACTGTTCTATTCACAGTTTCTTTGCCATTTTCTAACTGGGAACTTGAGCCAATTATTTAATCTCTCTGTGCCCCAGTTTCCTCACCTATAAAATGGGGATAAAAACACTTCATAAGATTGTTGTGAGAATTAAGTGGGTTAATATTTGTTAAGTGTTTAAAATACAGCTTGGTTCATAGTACATAGCATTTGTTAAATAAAATACTTCATTTTGCAGGTATGTGAGTTAATCTGTGGAATACTTAGAATTGCTGAGTCCAGAAGTTATGAACATTTGTGTCTTTGAGCTCTTGCTAACCTGTCCTGCAGAGAGTTGATTACCAGTTTGCAATCCTGTGAGCAGTGTAGGAGAGCTTGCCAGTTTCCTTACATTCTTGCAAAAACAATGGTTATTTGAACTTTTTGATCTTTGCCAATCTAAGGTGAAAGTGATAGTTTCAGTTGACATTTATTCTAAGTGAGGTTAACCATCTTTTCTTACATTTTAGACTCATTTCTTTTTCCTTGTATTGTCCGTTGATATCCTTTGTTCACTTTTCGTCTACTGTTTTTTGGTCTTTTTTAATTTCAAGGAACTCTTTCAAATATTTTTTCCCAGTTTATTGTCTTAATTTGGTTCATTGTGTTTACAAGTCAGTCTTTTGTTTTATTTCCTCCAGATTTCAGGTCATAGTTATACTTTCTAAAATTGATGAAAATTCTCATCCACTTTTTAAAAAATATTACCCTTCCCCTATTCTCTCCATTTTTTTCTTGAGGAACAACTATCAAGTATCCTGTACCTTCTGTCATTCTGTGTTACACATCTTGTAACCTTGCTTTATTTACTTATTATTACTTTTTTTTTTATTGTAGGTGACATACACTATTATATTAGTTTCAGGTATACAATGTAGTAATTTGATATTTAAATACCTTACAAAACTTTCTCCACTTTAAATCTAGTAACCATCTATCACCATACAACGTTATTACAATTTGTTGACTGTATGCCCTATACTGTACATTACATTCTCATGACTTATATATATTTTGTAACTTGAAGTTTGACTCATTTAATCCCCTTCACCTATTTCTTCCAACACCCCCTCCCCCCCTCCCAACATCAGTTTGGCAACCATCAGTTTGTTCTCTGTATCTGTAAGTCTGTCTGGTTTGTTTATTTTGCTTTTTAGATTCCATGTATAGCTGAAATCATATGGTATTTGTCTTTCTCTGTCTGACTTGTGTCACTTAGCATAATGCCCTCTAGGTCCATCCATGTTGTCTCAAATGGTAAGATTTCATTCTTTTCTATGGCTAATATTCCATTGTATATATGTACCACATCTGTATCCATTCACCTATCAGTGGACACCTAGGTTGCTTTTTATATCTTGGCTATTGTAAACAATGCTGCAGTGAACATAGGGGTGCATATATCTTTTCGAATTACTGTTTTCCACTTCTTTGGATAAATACTCAGAAGTGGAATTGCTGGGTCATTTGGTAGTTTTTTATGTTTTTTTGTTGTTGTTTTTTGTTTAAGATTTTATTAGAAAATTGGGGAAGGGAATAGCGTTGGGGAATCGGGGAAGGGGAACAGACAAGTTGCTGTCCTTTTGTTCTTTAGTCTAGTTGTGGAGGACATCACTTTACTGGCCCATGTTGGTATTATCATTGCACTCTTCCCGGGTGAGGCAGATCAGTCCCGGCCATTGACAGCTCTTGGCAGCTCATGCCAGCTGCTGGCTGCTCATGGTAGCTTATGGCAGCCCACTGCAGCCCCACTGCAGCCTGTGCCATCGCCGGCGACTCACAGCAGCCCAGCTCCAGGTCGAGCTGTTGTTCACCATCTTAGCTGTAGAGAGTGCAGCGTCACTGGCCCATGTGGGATCTGAACCGGCGGCCCTGCTGCTCAGAGCTCATGCTCCCAAGCCAACTCCTAACCAACAAATCACTCGGCTGGCCCGGTAGTTTTGTTTTTAATTTTTTGGGGCACCTCCATATTGTTTTCCCCGGTGGCTGCACCTATTTACAATCTCACCAGCAGTGCACAAGGGTTCTCTTTTCTCCACATCTTCACCAACACTTGACATTTGTTGTCTTTTTAATTATAGCCATTCTGACAGGTGTGAGATGATATTTCATTGTGTTTTTGATTTGCATTTCCCTGATCAGTAGTGATGTTGAGCATCTTCATTTGTCTGTTGGCCAGCTGTATATTTTCTTTGGAAAAATGTCTCTTCAGGTCCTCTGTCCACTTTCAGATTGTATGATTTTTTGTTATTGAATTGTATGAGTTCATTATGTTTTTTGGATATTAACCCCTTATTGGCATATCATTTGCAAATATCTTCTCCCATTTCGTAGATTGACTTTTTGGTATGTTGATTGTTTGTTTCACTATACAGAAGTTTTGTTGTTTGATGTAGTCCCATTTGTTTATATTTGCTTTTGTTTTTCTTGCCTGAGGAGACAGATCCACCACCACCCCACGTGCCCCCGCCCCAAAATTGCTAAGATTAAAATCAGTGAGTTTACTGCCTATGTTTTCTTTCAGTAGTTTTATGATTTCAAATCTTACATTAAGTCTTTAAACCATTTTGAGTTAATTTTTATATGTGGTATAAGAAAGTGGTCCAGTTTCATTCTTTTGCATGTATCTGTCCAGTTTTCCCAACACAATTTATTGATGAGCCTGTCTTTTCCCTGTATGTTCTTGCCTACTTTGTCATAGATTGACTACATAAGCATGGGTTTACTTCTGGATTCTCTATTCTGTTACATTGTGTCTGTTTTTGTGCTAGTACCATACTGTTTTAGTTACTATAGCTTTGTAGTATAACTTAAAATCAGGAAGTGTGATACCTTCACCTTTGTTCTTCTTTCTCAAGATTGCTTTGGCTATTTTTGGGTTCTTTTTTGGTTTCATACAAATTTTAGGATTATTCTAGTTCTATGAAAAATGCCATAGGTATTTTGATAGGGCTTGCATTGAATTTGTAGATTCTTTGGGTAGTATGGACATTTTAATAGTATTCTTTCAATACATATTTACATTTATTTGTGTTGTCTTCAACTTTTTATAGTTTTCAAAATATACATCTTTCACTTCTTTTGTTAAATGTATTCCTAGGTATTTTATTCATTTTGATGCAATTGTAAATTGTATTTAAAAAAAATTATCTTTTGGCCATTCATTATAAGTGTATAGGAACACAACAGATTTATGTATACTAATTTTACCAACTTTACCAAATTCCTTTATTAGTTCCAATAGCTTCTTGGTAGAGTCTTTAGGGTTTTGTATATATAGTATCAGGTGATCCGCAAATAGTGACAGTTTTACTTTACTTTTTCCTTTCCAATTGGGATAATTATCTTTTTTTTCTTGTTTGATTGCTGTGGCTAGGATTTCCAATACAATGTTGAATAAAAGTGGTGAGAGTGGGCTTCCTTGTCTTGTTTCTGATCTTAGAGGAAAGCTTTTAGCTTTTCATCATTGAGTATATTAGCTGTGGGTTTGTCATATATGGCCTTTATTATGTTGAGGCATGTCCCCCCTCTATGCTCACTTTATTGAAAGTTTTTATCATGAATGGATGTTGAATTTTGTCAAATGCTTTTTCTGCATCTATTGAGATGATCTTGTGGTTTTTTACTTTATTAATGTGTTGTATCACATTGATTGATTTGTGCATGTTGAACCATCCTTGCATCGCTAGAATATATAGCACTTGATTATGATGTATGATACTTTAATGTATTGTTGAATACAGCTTGCTAATATTTTGTTGAGGATTTTTGCATCTATGTTCATCAGGGATATCGGCTTGTTATTTTCTTTTTCTGTAGTGTCTTTGCCTGGTTTTGGTATCAGGGTAATGCTCATCTCTTTAAACGAGTTTGGCAGCATTCCTTCTTCAGTTTGTTGAAATAATTTTAGAAGAATAGGTATTAACTTTTCTTTAAATATTTGGTAGAATTCACCTGTGAAGCCTTCTGGTCCTGGACTTGTTCAGCTTGCTTGATTTCTACTGCTCTGTCTTCCAGATCACCGATCCAATTTTCTGTATCATCTAATCTGCTGTTGATTTCCTGTAGTGTATTTTTTTCATTGTATTGGGTTGTTGGAAAAATCATGACGTATTTTTTCTATGTTTTTCGTTGCAAAAATGCATCATGACTTTTCCGACAACCTAACAGTATTCTTCAGCCGTGGTTGGTACTTTCTTATATTTTTTATCTCTTTATTGAAGTTACTATTGTGTTCATCCATTTTCTTCTCCCAAGTTCGGTGAAGTTCTTTTTGACCATTACTTTGAACTCTTTATTGGGTAGATTGCTTATCTTCATTTTGTTTAGTTCTTTTTCTGAGATTTTGCTTTGTTCTCTTATTTGGAACTTAATTCTCTATTTCCTCATTTTGCCTAAATCTCTGTGTTTGTTTCTATCATCACCTTTGTCTTCTGGTCTTGAAGAAGTAGCCTTATGTTGGAGATATACTGTGGACTTCAGCAGTACAATTCCCTTTGGTTGCCAGAGCCAGGTGCCCTAAGAGTATCCCTTGTGTGGACTACATGTGTCCTTATGTTGTGGCGGGGCCACAATTACTACAGGTGTGTTGGTGTGTGGGCCTGGCCCCTACTGCAGCTGGCTGCAAGGTCTGGCAGACTGCTGCTGGCATGCTGATTGGGCAGGTTGTAATCTTTTTTAAAAAATAGTTTCCATAGCAGTTTTTATATGTGTGCAATATTTTTGATATTGCCTTATTTGTGTTTTTGGATCATTATTTCTCTCTAACTGGCTCTGGACTGATTGAGAATCTTTTTTAGGCAGAATTCTGGTCATGTATCTTCAACATAGTTTTTTATTTGTTTCTATCAAGTGCTCTAGAGGTTTCTCTGGGGTTGGACTAATTTTTTTATTAGTTTCTCGGCTCAAGGGTTTCCAGAACATTTAGGTAGTGTAAATTCAAACCCTGTACCCACTTGGTACTGAGGTTATGAATTTTCAGAAAAGACTTCTCCTCCCTATTCATATATACCCACCTAGAGCCTAGGCCAAGATAAAGATGTTTCATTATCTTATCACTTCTCTTGTCCCTTTGAGGGACCAGCTTTATGCACTGATTTTGCTACTAACTTCCTAAATTGAAATAGAAATTCCTAGATTACTGAAGCCAACAGTCCCTTTCTGCCCCAGGATAGCTGCAGGTTAGGTTACATACCTTAAGTGCTTTCTTTTCTTTGTGTCTGGCTCCTGGACATTTCCTTTACTTTGCATATTCAACTCTGCACTTAAATTTTTTCAATTACATATTATCAAGCACCTGGTGTTTTCAGCTTATCTAGCTCACCACATTGCCTAAACCTGAAATGTGTAGGATTTTTGTAATAAAAGACGTTCTTATCCTTTTAGCTAGGATTAGAGATGTTTGAAGCATAGACTTGTCTGGAAGTAAGCATATTAAAATAAGCATCTGTTATGTCAGTACACAAGCCAAGCATTATTTAAACTTTGACCTATTTCTCTTGAATTGATTCATTTTAGGTTATTTCCTGTTCTTAAACTTTTGTACCCCTTTTCAAAAAGGTGAATGTGGTGACTTAGGAATATTAAAAATATCAATTTGTCTATCAAGTTTTTTGCTTGATTTTTTTCAGCCAGCAAATACTGCAAAATGTTAGTTGACGAAGAAGGATTGCAGCTTTTGTGTGACATCCAGGAGCACAGGGAGGCAGACCCCCAAGCACAGCAGATTGCAACTTCCATTCTAGATGATTTCAGAATGCATTTCTGAATTATTAGAGACTCCCTTTGTGTTGAATGCCCTTCCTGACCTAAGGGGCTTCAGAGGTGCTCTCTGTTCCTCAACAGCCAGACTTCTGCCCTGTCATCAAGTGAATGTTGAAACCCCTTGTTGGAGTTTGTAAGTTAGCCATATTTGATATTGTTGATATTTTGTACGTTATAAAAAGTTTGCATTTGTATGATGGCCATGATCCCAATCAAGTTGGAATAATTCTGAGAATACTTCTTCAGCAGTTTTGAGATACCAAGCTCTGGACCCTGTGGGAAGACCTGTGAGCTTATGTTGGAACATTTATACCAGTTACTTGTCTCTAGGTATGGTCAATTCCTTAACTCTGGGAGTTTGTCAGAGGAAGGGGAAAAGAAAGGCCTGCAGGGAGACCTTGATATTCATGTTAAATTTCATGTTTGAAAAAACTTTCCTGAGTTGTTATTCCTGGTTATGTGCAGCCACTGGAAAAGAAGTACGTGAAAAATGTTCTGGGAAATATGTTCTTATAAATGTGTTTTGTTTGGAAGACAGAACTTCTGTTGGAGGGGAGGAAAAATAAAAAAAATACCTTTTTTACCAAAAAAATACCAAAGTTCTTCCACTTGGGTAGTGGGAAGAGAAATACATTTTTTATAATTTTTGATATTCTACTCTTGGCCTTTGTCCTTCCAACTTTACACATTAGACTGAGTAGCATAACTGTCTATGTATGTATATGCTGGAGGGGCATGGTGGGGCTTAGGATTGAGAATAGAGTGGTTAGGTGAAAGATTGTATGGGAATTGTAAATCTCAATCCATCAAATATTTGAGTGGGACTGTGACCCAAAATTAAGAGGAAGAAGAAGAGCAACAAGAAGAGTTTGCCAAAGATTTCAAGAGGTGCTTTTCTGAGAATCAGCCTCACCACAACATAAACCATGAGCAGCTTTCATTTGTGACCTCTGCAAGCCTCTGTAGAATAGAGTATAACTTCTTCCTTGCCTTATTATTGACATATAACAAAACATGTTTTGCCATTCATCTGTTTAAATTTTTTCAAAGAACAAAAATAAATTTCTTTTTTATTAGTAGCATATTTTAAGACTAGAATTTTGTTCTCTTCGCTGTTCAGACTCTTAACTGGAGTGGTATATATGCCATCTTTTGGAATCAAATGAGACTTATTCTAAATCACATTCCGGACTATTGCTCACTAGTATACCACTGGTTAAGGAGAATTTGTAACCTACTTCCTTCTATAGTCCTGAAACTGCTCTGTATTTTCTCTCATTTACTCTTCTTTCTGATTTCAAAGGATGTCTTGGTTTCCTTACCTGGGTTCTAGTACTTTGGAACATTCTGTTACCAGATAGTAGCTTTCGCTCATGTGAGCATGTACTGGGAACTAGTGCCTGTTGAGGTCCAGTTCCACACTAGGCACCCCTCCAAGTTTTGTGTCATTCACAGCAATCCTCTGGGATTGTTATTCACCCCATTTAACAGAGGGACAGGGAGGCAGAGTTCCAGCTGTTCTGTTGTTTTGTTAGTAAGGTGGTTACTTTTCTGAGAAGTTAACAGCTAATGTGGTTGTTCTGGGCTCTTCTGTGTTACTCTCCATTCCAGGAAATGAGCACAACCTTGGGGTACATCTGTATTTATTAGCAAATTAATGTTACTGGTATGTTTCCATGCCCAGTGAGGGCTTAGTGATTCTAGGCTGGGCCAGGCTAAGGAAGCTCAGGCAGAGAGCTCAGATCAGTTACAGAATGGCCACAAGACCACAGTTTAAGGTGCAGCCTTCTCTTCCCCTGCCTTGGTACAGAAGGGGCTACTGAAATGAGTGTGTACATGTGCATGTCAAGTCCCCCACCCCCTCCCTTTGTTTCTAAGCGTGTCATCTTGTTCATCTGTGCTCATGCTGTTCCCCTCAGCCTTCCTCTTCTTTGCCTCATGCCTATTAATCCTTTAGGCTTCAACTAAAGTGTGACCTGCCTGTTTTCTGGCCCTCCATTCTCTCCATCAGAGTTCATTGATCCCTTCTCAGTGCTCCTGAAGTCTATTTTATGCCATCAAAGGTTTTCCTTGCCACCCTATGGGTTACAAGAGGTTTTCACAGCGATGATTTCATTTGGTTCTCACAAGAACACTGTACATTAATAATCACATTTATTGAACATGAGGCTTTTTTTTTTTTTTTTAAGAATCCTCACAAGTTTCATTTTGCAGATGAAGCTGAGGCACACAGTGAGTAACGGGCAGAGATCTGTAGTCTGATTCGCGGCACCTACTCAGCCACTACCAGGGTTACTTATGATCTCTATTGAACAGAGTTAGAAACGGGGTAGAGGAGTATCTTAAAACTTCTTGCCATCTCTGATGAGTGCCTGATAACTGAGAGGCAGAGGTCAGGCTTGAGAGCCAACAAACAATACAAAGGTCCAGAGGGGTCTATTTTAATCCTTAGTTTATCATTCGTTTAGAGAGACAGGTATTCTCTGAAGCAAACCTGACCGCAGTGATCATCTAGCCAGGGTGAGGAATGCTGAAGGTAGCAATAGGTGGCATGGCCAGAACCTTGAGTACCAGGCACCAAAACCATCATTTTATATCCATCATTGTCCTTGTGAGGAAACCAAAGTGCAGAGAGGTAAAATAGGGCAGCCGCACTTCAAATTTTCCTTCTGGATCCTGTACTTGAAGGCGTATCTCTCTCATGCTTACGGTTAAATGGGGGTCACTCGCCCACAAATCTGGGGGGCCGCTTCTCCCTGAAGGCTGCCATGCCCTCTAGCCGGTCTCGGGTAGGGATGTTCTGAAACAACAGCAGAATATCATTATATTGCAGGGGAGCAGGGCCAGGGGCCAGTAAATTGCCTAAGCTTGTGCAGCCCATGGCAAGGCCAGAGTCCAAGTCTTTCCATTGTTTCTGGACTCGTGTTGGGCCATGGGAAGGTATGGGCCTCAGTGGCTCCTTAGTCTCCTGGGGAAGGCAGGCCGCCTGTCTAGAATCTGTGGCCTGTCAACATTAGCCTCTACTTGCACACTGCTTACATGCCTCCAGAGACTCACAGCCTCCTGCAGCAGTCTGACAGGAGGCTTTGCAATAAGAGATCTGGCTTTGGCTCTGCAAGTCCCAGACCTCCTGTTTAGGAGTATTTGGGGTATTTGTTAACCTGGAGATTAGTATGTTTTACTTGCCCATGAGTCAGGGCTACATAGGTCAGCCACAGGTTTACCACACCACCATCAAACACATGAGCCTGCAGGCTGTAACCAAGGCCTTGACATCCCACCTCTAGCCTGGCCTCTACAGTGGCCACTGTATAGAAGAAGCCATTCTTCCTCTCTGTCAGGTAACTAACTCTGTGTTCTGTGATTCTTTGGGCACTAAGTCGGGCAGGATATACCACCACGAGATGGCTGAGGAAACAGTCCCAGAGAGAAGCAGTGTGGTTCCCCTGGGATCAATCACCCCAGGCTAATTGTGAGGGGGAAGTGGCATCGAGTGTGACTCTGGGTTGGGAGGAACCTACTAAATTGGTCATGTATTGCACAAGGCCCCCCACTCTCGCTGTCCTGGCCTTTGCTTACAAGCATTCACAGCTGCCGCGTACCTGGGCATAGCATATCCCTTCAATGGCCATCCCTGATGCAATGTCCACCTGCGAGAAAGAAGTGGTACTTGGATCAGCCTGATCTTGTCCACCTCCGTCTGTACTGGGAGCCAGCCCACCCTACTGCCTATACTATTTCCTCCAGCCAAGAATTAGTGGCTTACTGTACATCAGTCCTGAACAGAGATGAATATGATAAGGAATTCCCTACCTGGAGAGGAAACACCATAACTGATAAAACAGTGCTAGGACAAATGGGGGCTGTGAGGACAAGGGGGAGGATTACACGGCCTGCAGAGCTGAGGAGGGTGTGGATGAGCTGCGTTTGCACAGCCAGTGTTCTTCCCATCTGGCTGCCTAACCACACCCTGTTACCCTCGTGAGTGAACTTTGCAGGCTTTCCATTGCCCTTAGGAGTAAGATCCTGGGCCTTGGTGACCTGGCCCCTGGCACCCTCACAGCCTCTACTGTCCAGTGCTTACTATTACGACCTCGTATAGCACTGTTCTAAGAGAAGTGCCTGTGCATGTATGTGTAAACTCACTTTTCATAGCAAGGGTTGTTATTCCTACTCTAGCTGAGAAATCTGAGGTATAGAAAGATGAAGTAATGCGTCTAAGGTCACAACAGTATGTGGAAAAGCAGGTCTTTAAACCCAGACAGTCCAGCCAGAGCCTGTGCCCCTAACCTCCACGTTGTGTTTTCTCACTCACCCCTTATTCCCATTCAGTCCAGTTTATTATTTATGCACCTCTGTGTGTTTGCTCATACTTTTCCCTGCCTCTGGAATTCTCATCCTTCCCAAAGCCAAACCCTGGAAAACAGTCTCTAAGCCAGCACTACCCAATGTGACAGCACAGCTCGAACCTCTCCAGGGTATCCATGGTCCATGAGGCCACGTAACTGACCATCAGCACAAACCCCAGAATATGGACTGGGAGCCACACAGACCTGGGTTCTTATTGTTCTGTGATCCCGGACAAGTCATTTACCCTTTCAGAACCTTATTTTCCTCTCCAAGGGAAAGAGATGAGGATAAAATGTAATTTGGAATATCACCTGGCAAAACTTTACATTTTGTAGATGGGTAAACTAAGACACAAAAAGAGAGAGGTCAGACTGTTACAAGAATGGAGTTCCTGAGTTTTGTTCCATCTGTACTGTCAGTCTGTGTGATGAAGGCACCTGCCACCTCTCAGCCACCCCACTGACTTGAGGGGACCCAAGTCCTGACCAGAACCCTCTCACCTCCATTCCTCGGTCAATGGCTACTTTGCCCAGCCGCACAGCAATAGGGGCCTAGGGAAAAGAAAAAGCTTGGTTGAGGAGACAATCGGTGCTGATGGGGGGTTGCAATAAAGAAAGGCATAGTTCCATGGACAGGGGAGCAGAGTTCCAGTTGTTCTGTTGTTTCGTTAGTGTCAGCACCTACTAGTTCTCAGTGGATGCTCATTTTCTGTAATGAAGGGCTCTGACTGATCCCTGACCTTTCCAATCCTGACCATCTTGGGTTCTTCCCCTTTAATCCATTCCTACAACATTCTGCAGGTTATAAAGTGCTTTTCCACCCACAGATTTGTTTAATGGTGCTACCCACCCTTCCAGGATGGTGCCATCTTTAATTGAGACTCAAGAAGGTGAAGCACTTGGGCATGTCTATCCAGTGAGTCATTGGTGAAGCTTGGATTTGATTCCTAGTCACCTTTCCCACTGCTGCTCCCTTCCCCTACCCTTCTCATCTCAGCAGATGTAAGCCTCCACTGCAAGCAGGTTAAAAAAAGAGTAAAAAAAGGTCAAGATTGGGAACTTGGGCTTTGGAGTCAGACAGTCCTGGGTTGCAATCCTGAGGGGGCGGGGGAGGGGGGTTGCATTTTTTACAGCCACTTGGAAGCAAAAGCATTAAAGTTGCCATCTTTGCTTCACTGGTCTTGCTTCCAATTAACTTGTGCCACAGCAGGCCTGGTACTCCATCCCCGGCCCCACTTCAGGCAAGGAATGCATTTACTACCTATAGTATTCCTATTATAATATTTGGAGTTTTTGTACGACTTTATCAGAAAAGGAATGATTTTTAAAATTTGTTAGCATAGAAGCCATAAATGAAAAAGTTCTAGTCAAAAAAAAAAAAAAAGAACTTCAAATTGGGAAAAATACCACAAATAAAAGGCGAAAGTAAAAACTGGTAAAATATATTTGTGATACTTAACACAGAGGAATTTCCTTGATATATAAAAAGCTAGTATAATTTAACAAACATTCACAAGGGTATGAAAAAGTAGTTTGCAGAAAAAGAAATATAAACACGGGTTCTCAGCTTTACTCTTAAAAAATGCAAATCAAAAGAGGTGCCCCTTTCACCCCAGGCTAGGTCAATATAAAAATGTTGGTAGTGCCCACTGTTGCTGAGGTCAGGAAACAGGTATTTGCATTCATTATTGACAAACTGGTACAAAACTTTGAGAAGGCAATTTGGCCAAAACTGGCAAATGTTAGATGCACATGCTGTTCGATGTTGCAACTCCACGTTGGAATCTACCCTACAGGTGTACGTCCAGAAGTACACAATTATGTATAAAGCTATTCAGCTGTTTGGCAACACATATGTAAGCAGCATAATGTTCATCATTAGAGTACTGGTTAAATAATGATGGCACATCCAGACCATGGATGAAGAAGTTTGCAGTTGTTTAAAAGAATGAGGTCAATAAGTATATGCTGAAATGGGAAACTCCAAGATACCAGGTGAAAAAAAGGAAGGTTCTTACTAGTATGTATATTATTATTCCATTTGTGTAAAAGGTGCTGGTATGACATGCCTTTGGGGAGAAGAGTCAGGAGAATGGAGAACTTAGCTTTTTTGTTTTATACCTCCTACTGTTTGAATTCTTTACTATGCATATTTTAATTTCATGCTTTTTAAATGTCTCTTAGAACTGGATTAGCCTCTAAAGGTGTGTTCCTTGTCCCCTAAACTACACTTAAAAGGAATTTAGAGTTATTTAAATATATGAATATATATGCATTACTTATATACTTACATATGCAATAAAAGTTTCTGGAAGAATATTCATACTGTTAACTGTGGTTGTCTCTGGGGAAAGGGATTGGGGAATTGAGAGCTGTTTGGGTAACCAGTTGGCCTGGTTTGCCCACGACAGAAGGGTTACCAGGACATAGGACTTTTACTTTTAACTGGGTCAGCCCCAGGTAACAGGGTCATCTGGGACACTCTACTTTTCATTTTTACCTATGCCCTTATTCATCTGTTCTATTTGATTTGCTTGTCATGAATGTGTATTATTCTTATTTAGGTAACTAATAAAGAAACTGATTTCTCACCAAAGAAAATTTAAAACTATATAGGTACAGTTTAATATACTGTATGTATGTGTTAGCATATTTATGTTTCTAAATGTATAGACATATATATGAGAATTATTAGAAATATGATAATTTCACATTATTTGGGAACGAGAGCAGTGGGTCATACTGTGGCCGCAGTGTAGAAAACAGCCAAATCCATATTTAAAGTATAATGTATACTTACTGTTTAGGGGGGAAATCTGAGTGATAAGTTGCAGGCCTTGCATTTATTAAAAAATCTTTTTGGGGGCCTTATCTCTGGAACCATCTGACATCCTAGTCTTGGTCGTTTGTCCACTAGAGGGCAGCCGTCTACCACGCCATCCCTGGCATTCACCCCATCTGGGAATCCTCTCCTCTCAGGCACCCTGTAACTCAGTTGGAAGTGGAAGGTTTGTTTTTCAGGTTGCATCAGCTGTTCCAGCATTGAGATTAGTGATTGTAGTACTAGTTTCTGGTATGCTAGTGTCGGTATGCAAAGCTACTTTTAAGTCCTGAAATACTGGAACTTAATTTTAGTGGAATACCATTATTTCAGTATACGTATTCAAAAATCTGAAATTAGAATCATGTTGAGACCAAGCTCAAAGATCCAGTTATTCAGTTTATGCAGAAAAACACAAACCCTACAGCCTACAAGCCTTGCTAGGTAGTCACATACCTCCCTCTCCCCCCCCCCCATGGAAGGTCAGTCAGCCACTACCTTGAGCCACTCAGAGTTTGTATTAGTTCAGAGACTTTCTAACCAAGTATAATAGGAACATGAGAGCATTAAAATTGCCCTGGTAACAGCATCAGACTCTTGTTTATATGTGATGGAAAAAAAGAAAGCGAGAGAGAGAGAGATTCTTTTAAACCAAACTCACCTCAGTTTTTAAAAACTAATAGCCCCTGCCCTCAAACATCTTGAAGCTATAAAGAGGTAGGATTATTTAAACAGGCAGAGAATTTTTTCCAAAATAAAATACTTATTTTCATGATTAATTCAAATACTTTCATCTATTAATATTAAAATAATGTATGGTTAACATTTTTATAGACCTTTTTTGTTTTGTAATATGTTTGTAAATCTATTTGAAATGCATTAAATAGTTCCCCAGTTTAAGAAATTTTGTACATAGTCTGCATTCTTAGGATAAATACTAAGAATTGCAGTCACTTTTGGTGACTTGGATGAGCAAGTCACGTAACCTTTCTTGGTCTGTTATATCACAAATACAATGAGGATAATCAGCTCAGCTGGCTTGTTCTGGTAATTGAGACACTATTAAAGTACCTAGGGTTGTGTCTGATGGCTGGGAGATGCTCCGTAGGGCTAAGTCAATGTTTACTATAAATTAGTAAAGCATGGCTCCATTGCAACTACTTCCATATCATTATGGAAACTTGGGACCTCTCTCTAAGTCCGTTTAGAGTCATGAGAAGCCAGAAGAGCCTCCTAGTTCCTTAGAGATCCCATCATCCAGATCCTGGGTCCTGCTGAAGGCTTTGGGCCTGGCAGCTGGTAGGATTACGCTAGGCAGGGCCTAAACCTGTTCCCTGGGTCTCTAAACCTTTTGTGAGATTATATGCTCAAAGGCTTTGTGAGGATTTAAAAAAGTTAATAGGTCTTAACATACCCTACATGATGTGTTTCAAGAATTTCTCCACCATGCAGTATGGTCAGCAAGATGGGCTCATAGTTCTTTATTTGCTTTAGAATCTTGCTTTTTCAATTTTGGGGACATTTGAATGTGGAACTATCCAATAGAGTAGCCACTAGCCACATGTGGCTATTAGCATTTGAAATGTGGGAAGTGTAACTGAGAAACTAAATTTTTTAATTTAAATTTAAATAACTACATGTGGCTCGAGGTTGCTTTAGTGGACAGCACAGGTATAGAACATTTCCATCATCTCAGAAAGTTCTGTTGGACAGTGCTATTCTGAGGATTTTCAAGCCTACTTGATTCCAGTCCCTCAGAATTCAGTTTTCGTTTTACCTTAAAATTTGATTTCGTTTTGTTTACTGGATGACTGAATGGATGCAGAAACGCCAAAGAGGGTTAATTTTATAGGTCTAGGTAAATGGATCTTGTGCGGCCTCATGGGACACCCTGGCCTCCCCTCATGTGTGTCCCCATGGCACAGGCCCTCCCTCCTGTGCTGGGCTGCCACCACACCTGGGGCAGGATCTCCTGGGCCAGTTCTCGTGCCCGGTGGTAGGCGGCGTTGCCCTCCTCATTCTGGGCCACAGAGTGGTTCACCAGCCCCAGGGCCTGCGCCTGCGCCCCATTCAGCCGTCGGCCTGTGAAGATGAGCTCCTTCGCCAGGGCCACCCCTAGGCATCGGGGCAGCCTCTGAGTCCCTCCTGCCAGGATGGAATGGGGGTTGCCAATCAGTATGGGAAGTGGGAGCCCACAGAAGGCCCAGGCTGGGAGTTAGCCAAGACTTCTCAGAAGCAGATGGAGTTAGGATGGCAGGGCAGAGCCCAGAACATGGCAAAAGAGGAAAGCAGGAAGTACCCGGGATAGAGTGGAATTGAGCAGGTTGAGAAGGATTGGTGCTATGGATGAGGTTGGTTACCTGCTCCTGGGAGGAGCCCTCGGGTGGTCTCGATCAGCCCCATGACAGCCGAGGAAGGTGCTTAAAGAGAACAAAGTGAAGCCCCCACCCTCTCCTCCGGTGCCAATTTTTGGGGAGAAGAGACACCCACTTCTAGGCTCGGCTCACCCTGCTAGCCAACCACTTCCTTAATGGTCTGGCTCTATGGAAGAGCCCCCACCTGAAGATCAGAAAGCCCAGGCCCTCATCCTGCCTCCCCACTGGTGGAGGTGTGCTTCACCAGGCATGTCTCTTACCCTTCCAAGCCTCATAGGTGGATAAAAGAGGACTACCCTCTTGCGCCTGCTTCAGAGAGCTGCTAAGGATCAAATGAGGTAACAGTACTTGGAACAATGAAGGGGTTCCTGGAAGGTACCCAGTACCTGTTTCTGGATTAATGGATTCTTTGCCTTGTGCACCCTTTGCTCCTGCCTAGATTAGAGTGTCAGTGACTCCTGCTCCCACCACAGTTACTCCTCCCAGCTTTTCATCAGCCTGAAATTTCTGTGTTCCAGTCCACATCCTCTTTCCAAGTTCTGTTTCCTCTAAGAAGCCCTTCTCGAGTGTCCCACTTCATAGGCTTCTCTCTGGAAGTCCCTCGGCACAGGCCATCTGAACCATGCAGCGTGCACAGCAGGGAGTGGCCATCACTCCTGCCTGTGGGGCTTTTACATTCAGCCCCCCTCCCCCATGTTGCCAAAACTGCAAGTTAGTTGCCTTAAACATGGGCCAGTGAGAAACAGAGTTGGGGCTATGACCTGACCTGGTATTTTGATGCCTTCTCTTTGACATGCATTGTGTAGATAAAAGCTACTTTTCAATGCCCGGAATTACACATTTTTCAGTGTTCTTCCTGGGGTGGCAACAGAAAATGGAGGGCAAGAGTCTCACCATGATGGCACTCGGACTTTTCCTAACTGCCTCCAAGAAGAGCGCACCTACACACCAAGTCAGTAAGGTTGAAATGTGATCTATTATCTTCATCCCCTCCCTCCGCTCTTCAGAGCTCAAAACCTTGGCTGGTGCCCATGAACCCCAGGGCAATGTTCCTGCTCAGGTATGTTTGATTATCGGGGCTGACAGACTATTCCCGTGGCTCACCATGATAAAACCATGATAAAGCTAGTTTGGACAGAACTGGAAGGTTAAACAACTAATCTTTGTCCCCCTTGGCCTTCCCTCTGCATGCTTTTTGCTGTCCTGTCAGCAGTGGCCCTGTCAGCATTCCTGAGATGAGGGAAGCTGGTGCTGAGAGGTGACAGGCTCTATAGAAGTCAGGGGCTGAACCAGGAGGGGAATCAACTTCCGCCTAAATTCCCTCTGTGTCCCCCACCTTGCCTTTAGTTCAGCTGTTGGTTGGAAAACTAAGAGCAGTGGCTGACTTTGCAGAATTCATAGTCATACAGTTTCACTAACCCTTCCCTCCCCACCCTGTCCCACCTCTCCCCCTGCCCAGTACCTGCTACTCGGAGGTCACAGGCCAGGGCAAGTTCCAGGCCTCCACCCAAGGCAAACCCATCCATAGCTGCAATGGTGGGTGCAGGGAAGGCTGCTGTGGAGACGAAGATGGGCTCTCAGCCTATTGAAACCTTGGCAGGACTAGGACAGGGACTCACGGTTGGGGAGGGGCTAGCTGGTTGGGACAGAGGGCCTCATTGGGCCCAGGTTTGGGGGCCTCACCTGGTACCTCAGCCAGGTTATTTTAGAAGTTGGCTTTCCCATTGGGGAAAATGGTGGGATCTGGTGGGGAACTAGGGTGGGGAGGTGGGCTGGATGATCCTGCTCAGACCCCCATCTCCTGCTGGCCATCCTGGGCCTGGCCATTTTGCTCTTCCTCCTCGTTCTGTGTGCCAAGCCCTGTGCTGGGTGCTGGGAACACAGAATTGAACCAAACATGGGAAGACCAGTAAACAGGCAATGATGACCCAGGGCGAGTGCACTGATAAAGGACGCTTGGAGTAAGGGTCAGAGGAGGATTCCTAGAGGAGACACTAGTGGTCTTAAGGGATGAATACAAAATTCAGGTGGCTAAAGACATATACCAGGCAAAAGAAACAGCTATTGTGAAAGCCTGAAAGCACACTTGGTGAAACGACTCCTCTGGGGTCGCCATGTTTGAACCCTGAGGGCAGGGAGAGGGGTAGTGTGGAGGGGTGAGGGGACAGAACTAGCAGGGCACAAAAGCTGAGGAGCCAGCGCTATGAGAGATGCTCTCTGAACTCTCGTCACCTGTCCACAGAGCTCACAACGGAAAGTGTCCTCTCTTGAGAGTTAGAGGATGGTGGGTGGGGCTGGGATCAGCAGGACCCCTGAATGCTTTCCTCTGCCCCATTCCAGGACCCTCACCAATCTGATTCATCAGGCCTCGGAGCCGCTGGACAAAGACCCCCACCTCCGCCTCACTCATCTGCTCCCGCTCCTTCAGGTCTGCACCTGCAGATGATGAAGGGTAGGTGACAGCCCTTAAGAAATAACCCGTTACTGAGTCCTAAGCTGTTAAAGTATCCAGCAAAGGAGACTTGAGAAGCAGCCAGAAAGGAAAGAGAAACACCAGGAAAGCATAATCAGAGAAGCCAGGAAGAAAGTGGGGAGGGGATCAAAAAGGAGAGGTGCAACAATAACAAAGAAAAATTGGACTTCATCAAAATTAAAAACTTGTGCATCAAAGGACACTATCAAAGAAGTGAAAAGACAGCCCACAGAGTGGAAGAAAATATTGGAAAATCACATATCTGATATGGGATTAATATCTAGGATATATCAAGAGCACCTACAACTCAACAACAAAAAACCCCCACAAAGGACAAAGACTTCAATAGACATTTCTTCAAAGAAGATATACAAATAACCAATAAGCACATGAAAAGATGCTCAACATCAGTCATTGGGGAGATGTAAATCAAAACCACAATGAGGTAACACTTTACACCCATTAGAATGGCTATTATAAACAACAACACAAAGCAAGTGTTGATGTGGGTTTGGAGAACCCCAGTGCGTTTGCTGGTGGGTCTGTAAAACAATGCAGTTGCTGGAAAACATTTTGGTGGTTCCTCCAAAAGTTAAATGTACAATATTATTCAACATCAGCTTCGTATCTGAAACTAATAATAATAAAAAAAGTTAAATGTAGAATTATGTGGTCCAGTAATTCCACTCTTTAGGGTTATACCCCAAAGAATTGAAGGCAAGGACTCATACCCACATACCAATGTTCATAGCAGTGTTATTCACAACAGCCGAAAGATGTGACCGACTCAGTGCCCATCAATGGATGGATGGATTAACAAAATGTGTATGTACACAATGGCATATTACTCAGCTATAAAAAAGAACGACGTTCTGATTCATGCTGCAACATGGATGAACCTTGAGGACATTATGCCAAGTAAAATAAGCCAGACACAAAAGGACAAATGTGTGATTCCATTTGTATGAGGTACCTAAAATAGGCAAATTAATAGAAACAGAAAGTAGACCAGAGGTTACCTGGGCTGGGATGAGGGGCCATGGGAAGGGATTGCTTAATGAGCACAAAGTTTGTGGTGATGAAAAATTTCTGGAAATGAACAGTGGTGATAATTGCACAACCTTGTGAATGTACTTAATGCCACTGAATTTTACACTTAAAAATAAACTGTAAACTTTGTGTAATAGATATATTTACCACAATTTAAAAAATATATAAAATAAAACTATATTGCTTTTCCCCAGTTTTATTGAGAAATAATTAACATATCACTGTATAATTTATTACTTTTTAAAAGGAGGTGGTCAGTGGGCCAAGGAGGCTGAGGGGTCAAGTAAGATGAGAACTGAAAAGCGAATGCAAGATACAGTGGCACGGAGGTGGGCAAGGACCTGGGTGAGAGTAGTGACCATGGTGGGGCCATTAAAGGCCAGATGGTGGGGGCTGAGGGGGGTGTAGGGGGTGAATATAGTCTCCTCAAGCCCTAGACTACATGAAGCCAGAGCTGGGAGAGTCCTTGGAAATCTTGGATGAGTTCCAGCCCCTCAATGACAGATGGGGAAACTGAGGCCCAGAGAGGGGCAGGGACTAGCCCAGGATTCCAGAGCAAGTCGGGGGCTGACCCAGACTTCTGGCAGCCCACCAACTTCCCCATGCTTATTTGGGATAGTGAGGAGTGATACTACAGGGGACATGAAGTGGAGGCCAGACAGAGATGGAGATAAAGGAAGAAGCCAGGGTAGGCTGAGGGCCTCAGCCAGGGCATCTGAGTCAGGCAGACTGGTCCGCATACTTGTCCTGCCTGGGCTGGACAGGTATGGACTCCAGTTGGGCACCAAGATGCCCAACAGCTCAGACCTAGGGACTGAGCCATGTCCCCTGAAAACTGGAAATCATGTTCTTCCCATCCTGTCCCCCCACAACCACTTCCTGCCTCCCCAGTGACCCCCATTACCCTCTCCCCAACCATCCGGCATAGGTTCTTAGCTCAGCTGTCATTGATTTGCTTGTTGTGGGCCTGGGATGTGGTATTTCCAGTCTTTGAAACGGAAGTTCATTGTGCTTGCCCAGTTGTGAGGACCAAATGGTGCAGGGATAGTGGAGAGCTTTGGTGACAGGGACTGGGCAAAGGGGCACAAATCCCATCTTGGCCACTGACCTTGTGAACGTCTTTGGACTCAGTTTCCTCATTTCCTCAATGAAGGGTCAGAACACAGCATGAATAGCCAAAAGAATAAGGGTCAGAGAGGTCAAGTTCAAACTAAATTCTGTTTACCTCTTGCTATTTAACCCTAGGCAAGGAATTTTACCTATGAGTCTTTGAGTTCACATCTGTAAAATGGGAGTCAGTCCTATGCTAGAGCTGACCATAGCCCTCCCACCAACTCCTGCGGGCTGGTGGGAACTCTGTTGAACCCCAGGGTGGGGGCAGGGGAGGAAACCCACCTGCACAGAACACACCCTTCACTCCACTTCTGAAGATCAGGACACGCACTTGCCGATCCTCTTGCAGCTGGGCCAGAGCTTCCAGCAGCTGCAGAGGAGACCTTGTCAGATACCTCCCTGCCCAGCCCCTGCCCAGCCCCAGCCCCAGCCCCAGCCCTCCCTGGTATTCCGCCCTTTCTCACCTCACCGACCAAGACATTTCCCAGGGCATTGCGGGCATGTGGTCTGTTCATCAGAATCTCAGCGATTCCTGCAGGGGACGCAACAGCCTTGGGTGAGCCAGCTGGTTTGCTCACTCCTGCGCTGGGGGCCTGGGCAGCCTCTATCCTTGAGGAGCAGGGTGGCTTGGGAAAGTCATACACGCCCAGGCCTCTATTTTCCTGACTGGGCTTGCTCACCTGCTCCTTCTCCTCCTTTGCCTCCAGTGTGCTTGCCTCCTGTATCCCCAGGGCTGCCCAGTACACCTGGCCAGCCCAGAGCTCTCCTCTGAGCTCTGTGCCTGAATATACATCTGTCCACTTGATATTGCAACCAGCATGTCCAAAAATGATCAATCTTTCCCCTGTGAATGACCTCACTATTAACTCAGAAGTCTGTTGTGTTGCCTCCCTACCCCTCACACATGAAATTTACTCAGTCTCCAACACCTGCCAATTCAACCTCTTAAATCTCAGATCTTTAAGCTCATATCCCTCCTTGCACGGGCATTTTTCTCAATTACGTGGATCACCCAAGTGGCACTCTTGTCCTCAATCTTGCTCCCTTTCCTCCTCCACATTCATGCCTTCATTTGGGTCAGAGTTATCTTTCTAACCCAAATCCAACCATGTCCCTCCCCTTTTCATCAAAATAAAGTCCAATCTTTAGTAATACCCACAGGCCACCCCCCCAAAAAATCTGGCCCTTGCACCCCACTCTGGCCTCAACTCATCCCCCAAATCCTGGCCAGGTGTGGGGAAGAAACACCAGCTCTGGGCAGGGCCATTACCTCTCCTCTAAAATGTCAGGGATGGACTAGAGGAGTGTTTACCAATCTGGCATTCAAAGGCCCCTTATTTTTCTTTTTCCAGGGTTCTCAGCTTTGTCTGTGAAACAAGCAGTATTTATTAAGATGGCATTCTCAGTGTGAGTTGATCTGAGACCCAGAGAAGGGCCAAAGAAGGTTTCAGGGTTCTCAAAGGTAAGGTTTCTAGCCAGGAGTTAGAGAACTGTGGTCTAGGACAGAGAACTGTAATATTCAGACTAGGTGGGCTTCCTTAGCCTCCCCAGAGACCTTCAAAGAGCTCTTTGAGCCCAGCAGGTCTGGATGGAGGTCCCACAGAGGAACACAGATGTCCCCAAGGTCCTCTCCAGCTCTGGTGCTTCAGAAGAGAAAATGTTGCAACTTTGAGGAAGAGAAACTGTGATGGATACAGAGAAACCACCTCAGAGGAGATGAGGAAAATAATCTAGGTCCAAGGCCATTGTGGTGGAGGGAACCCAGAGTGGCCCACATGTTCACATCCTAAATCTCCTTCCCTTGGGACAGGACCTATGAATTGCTTCTAACCAACAGAATACAGCTAAGGTTACAAAATGTCACTTCCAAGATTAGATTGAATTACAATACATGGCAAAGGTGATGAGATGTTATTTCTGTGGTTAGGTTACGGTGTATATAAGTTTGTTGGGAGGGCACACTGGAGAAACTGGTGGGCCAGTGGAGAGGGTCATGTGGCAAGGAACTGTGGGCAGCCTCTAGGAGGCGAGAGTAGCCCGCTGGCCAACAATCAGCAAGAAAACAGGACTTCAGTTCTATAACAGACACAGGAAGTGAACTCTGTCAACAAGGTAAGGAGCTTGGAAGCAGATTTCTCCCCAGTCAAGCCTATGATGAGACCACTGCCCTAGCCAACTCCTGGATTGTATCCTGGTAAAACCCTGAGGCAGAGAACCCAGCTAAGCTGTGCCTTGACTTCTGATCTACAGAAACTATGAGATAATAAATGTGTTATTTTAATCAACAACGTTTGTGGCAATTTGTTCTGTGGCAAGAGAAAACTAATTGAAAACTGACAAAAACTTTCTCCTTTTTTCACTTTCCTGTTCTGTCCTTTCTCTCTGGCTGACACTCCCCTATCTTTCATCTTTATCTCCTCTTTCCATCCCCCTCTCTCAAAATACTAGCTGCCAAATCTTAAGGTGCTTGGCTCAAGTCACAGCGCAGTCACACACCAGCTCCATGGCCTTGGGCATGTTACTTTACCCTTCTGACTTTCAATTTCCCAATCTGTAAGTAAAAATTATAAAAAGGTTGTTATGAAGATTAAAAGAAATAATGTACATAGCCAGAATTTGTTGGTACAGTGAGCAGAGAAAAGACATGCTGGGAAAAGTCTAGGGCCCCAAACAAGGTGTGAACTCCAAACTGGGAGCCCTGAGGAGTCAGGCAGGGTGTCTTTGGCTTTCATTCATTCATCTGACAACATTCTATTTGCACTATTACTACATGCCAGGTCCTGGAGAAATAAAGAGGACACAGCCATGAGTCCTGTCGTCTTAGCTGAGCCCTGATTCTGGGAACATTGCCTTTTGTGGGCCCCAGCAGTGGGGATGGGTCTGTACTGTACCCTTCCCACTGATAGGAAACCCGTCATGCCACTGGTTGATGATTTCCTTAGCAGCTGACCTAGGGTATTTCTGTCTGGAAGGCTTGGATCACAGGCTAGGTGATGTGGGTGGGAGTCAACAGAAACCACTGGAAGGTAGTCTAGAGACTAATTGGTTTAACAACTCCTTACTACATAGAAGGGGAGACTGAGAACCAGAAAAGAAGAGAGTTTGCCTAAGTTAACAGCTGGAATCCTCATTCTCAAAGAGCTAACAACTTAGGAGGAAGACAGGTCCAGACCATGTGAAAAGTAAAGGGACAATGAGGGGCAGTAATTCCAGAAGGTTTTATGTAGGCAGAAAGAAAAGAGAGGACCCAAGTCAGGGACATAGCTAGAACAAAATACAGAAGTGGGACAACTTAAACCCATGGGTAGAAGAGATACGATGGAAAGGTTGGGCTGTGGTAGAGACCCATGAGGAATTGGAGGAGAGCCATAAAGAAGAGTGAAGAATATTTAACAAATCAATCCCATTTTCAAGGACAACAGGTAAAATGTGACCATCAGCCCAAGAGGAAAGCAGAACCTGGCTGTGGCTAACATGAATATCAAATGACCCCAAAGTATTTTTGGTGGGGCAGTTTCACCTGTGTGGGAATCTCCTTCTCATGCTTCCTTCACTACTTCTTGGTTTTCTCATCTCCTTCTCAGAGTGACCTTCTCCCACCTTCTAAATGCCCCCTGGCAGGGGCAGAGGCTTAATCTGCTGATCCTTGTTATTTCTGGATATAACATTGTGTGTCTTTGCAAGTGAGCTCTAAGGTCTATGACCTGATCATTTTTTTTAACTGATGTACAACTGTTTTGTACAGCAGAAGGAGTGATGATGTAATAATTGAGAACACAGGTTTTGAAATCAGACTTGGTTCAAATTGCTTAACCGCTGTGCCTCAGTTTCTTAATCTGTAAAGTGGGGAGAATGGTTATAACTATCTCAAGGCAAACGCTGTTGCCAGTTTGGCAGTGAACTAAACAGGAGAGTAAGGGTTATTCTGTAAGACCCAGCAATCCCACATGGCCAGAGAAATTCTCACCTCGTGATGTAGTAGGATGCTGGCCGCCCCTACATGTCCATCAAAAGTGGAGGCACACCAGGGAATGCCACAGCAGGAAGCAAGGAATTAGATTTACCTGCCAAAGCAGCTCTTCAAAACTTAGTATCAAGTGGAGGGAGGGAGGCGGGGGAAGGAGGAAATAAGAGATGTAGAGTACAATGCCATCGGTGTAAATTAAAATTCTGACGCAAACAATGCTACATCAAATACAGGGAAGAGGGGATGGGATTAGGGAGAAAGTAAAGACTAGAGAACGGCCTTGCAGCAATGGTTAATGTGCAGTGGAGTGAGGAGCGTGAACAACAAAACAAATAAAAACCAACACGCAATCGAAGGCGTTTGCTGCCAGTGACGAGCGCGAACTTTCCCCTCAGGGTCAGCGGGATACAAAAGTCCGCCAGCTGCGGAGATCAACACGCCGCGTGTAGACGCGCCCTCCTCTCCTCGCGTCTTCGCGACCTTGCACGAAGAGCCTGATTGGCTCCGCCGCCTCACCCCCACGGCACCGTGCCAGGAACCTTGACCCGGGAGGGAAATCAGGCCTTTTAAAGCTCAGGAACAGAATGGGGTGGGGAGGGTACTGGTGCCTAGTCCTACCTCTGAGCTACTCCTCTCCCCTTCCTCACAGCTCAGCCACCGAATGGAGGGCTGAGAGGACGGATATTGACATCGAGTCCCATCCCAACTAGCGTCGGGGCGGCCAGTAAGGTGGTGACTCACTGGCGGGGCTTAGGAGGCTTAGGAAGCCTAGACTGGGACGTGGGGAACTAGGGACCAAATTCTCAAACGCACTCAACGAGCTGCCTTATCCCTACTGGCACTCGGTTACCCCCTCCTCAGCCCTGCCGGGGCGCTCCGCAGCCGCCTCCTGGATGTTCCCCGGGACAGCGCACTCACCTTGGTCCGGACCCGCCAGGGCGCGCACTTGAATCTCCGGGCCCCTGGCGGTCCCATTGGAGGCGCAGCCGCAGGCCTGTAGGGGCCTCCAGGGCCTTGTTAGGCGCAGGACGCTGGTCAGGGCGCGCTGCATCGGGGCTCAGGCTGGGTAGGTGCCGCTCGGCCTCCAGCACTTCTCTTCCACTGAAGGCTCGAAGCTCGGCGGCCAGATCCGCAAACTGCTCCACCTATGGGCCGAGAGGCCCTCGCCGCTCTCTGCGCCTCCTAGAGACTGGGGGACATGGATAGGGTAAAACCCCAGCTCTGTTGTGTGATTTGGGGCATGGGTGTCAACGTATCTAAGCGTCAGTGTTTAATCTGTAAAGTAGGGATAATAGTAGTGCCTTAGGCAAAGATAAAGCAAAACGCTAAAGTAGCGAGAACAAATTTTAATCGATAATATGTTATTGCAAAAGGAAAAGTGTCCAGCGTGAACTGAATTCAAAGGGGCCGGTAGCCAGAGTTCACAAACGGATGTGACACCGAGTCCACTTCAGCCATGGGGGAGGGGAGGGGACGACGACAAACAAACAAAAAACACATTTAACCTAGTATCAGCCATTCCGGTTTAGGTTCTGTACAGTGAGGAGTGTGACCTGGAGCAGGGTCTGAGACGGATCAGGGGTTGGCCAGAAACCGGACTCACAAAAGGGTAGCCTGAGGAAACTTTTTGGAGTGTTGGAATTGTTTTGTATCCTGTTAATAGTGATAGTTTAGAAGAGTCATTGCATATGTTGAAACTCATGGGACTGTACACCAATAAAGGGTGGAGGGAGGATTTCACTATATGTATGTCTAAAACAAATGAAAAGCCCAAGTTCAGTCACTAGCTCTGTGACCTTTTAACCCCCCTGAAATTCATTCTGTAATATGTGTCGTTTTTAAATAAATGAGGTGACAGAAATAAAGAAAGGCTTTATACATAAAATATATACGGGGTGCCAAAAAAATGTATACACATGACTTGTATTCATCTTTGTTATTGGTATATATTGAGTATTACTATTTTAATACAGGGTTTTTTTCTTTCTTAAAATGTGTATACTTTTTGGGGGCACCCTCTGCATACATATATATATATATATATATATAATATATATATATGATTTTTTTTTGGTAAATATGGAACGCTTCACGAATTTGTGTGTCATCCTTGCGCAGGGGTCATGCTAATCTTCTCTGTATTGTTCCAATTTTAGTTATATATATATGATTTTTACTTGCTGATTCTGAATTGCGAATTTGCTCACAAAAATCTTTTTGTAACCTCAAAATTAATACTTCGAGGGTTCTTGAGGTAGCAAAAAATTTGAGTGATGCCTGATGCCTGTTCCCAGCCGAGGTCAAGCAAGACCATGGTCTACCTTCTTGTTTCAGCTCTCGTGCTATAAACAAGTGTCCTCATGATTTTGTAGTGCCACACTTTTTTGCATTTTGTCCTTTTTGTTGGTGATTTCGCTGTTTAAAAATGGTCCCCAAGCATGAAGTGCTGTCCAGTATACCTAAGTGCAAGAACGGTAATGTGCCTTATGAAGAAAATAATGTGTGTTAGATAAACATAGTGAAGACATGAGTTACAGTGCTACTGGCTTTGAGTCCAATGTTAATGAATCAACTATACATATGTACATATATACATACACAACACACACACACAAACACATATATATATATATGTTTTAGACAATCAATGAGAAGAAAGGACAACATATTGAATGAGAAAAGATATTTGCATATGATATATATGATAAGGGGCTAATATCCAAAAAATATAAAGAATTTATACAGCTCAACATTAGAAAAACAAACAATTTAATTTAAAAAATGGGCAGAGGACCTGAAGAGACATTTCTCCAAAGACGACATACAGATGGCCAACAGACACATGAAAAGATGCTCAATATCACTGATCATCAGGGAAATGCAAATCAAAACCACAAGGAGATATCACCTCATACCTATCAGAATGGCTAATCAAAAAGACAACAAATGACAAGTGTTGTTGAGGATGTGGAGAAAAGGGAACCCTTTTGCATTTTTGGTGGAATAGTAAATAGGTGCAGTCACTATGGAAAACAGTGTGGAGGTTCCTCAAAAAATTAAAAATAGAGCTTCCATATAACCCAGCAATTCCAATTCTGGATATTTATCCAAAAAAGAATAAAAAACAATTCAAAAAGATATATGCATCCCTATGTTCATTGCAGCATTGTTTATAATGGCCAAGCTATAGAAGCAATCTAGGTGTCCATCGATAGATGAATAGATAAAGAAGATGTGGTACATATATGCAATGGAATATTACTCAGCCATAAAAAATAATAAAATCTTGCCATTTGTGACAACATGGATGACCTAGAGGGTATTATGCTAAGTGAAATAAGTCAGACAGAGAAAGACAAATACTATATGATTTCACTTATATGAGGAATCTAAAAAAACAAATGAACAAACAAGCAAAATGAAACTGAAACCAAACTTATAAATACAGAGAACAAACTGATGGTTACCAGAATACTCTTGTACATGTGTCATTTCATACCTGTGTGGATATATCTGTAGGTTAAATTCCTAAAATTGGAATTTCTAGGTCAAACAGTAGATGATTATAGTTCTGACATATATGGCCAAATTGCTCTCCATTAAAGATATTACCATCAGCAATATGGAGTACTTTGTATTGCTTTTATAAGTAAAATAATAGTTTTTAAAATTCATATTATAATTCAGAGGGGATTACTAAGGGATTAGTTCTGTTTAAAACCAACAGGATTAAAAAGGAGAAACAATGCTGTTATTACCTATGGCCATATTGTTACTACCACTCTTGTCCTACCTCCCTTATACCTTTCCTAAGCTTCCTTGGAGTCCCAGAAACAGTAAGAATTGGGTGGGGAAACACCTTGTTATTTTCAAAACCAGGCCCAGATTTACTTGTAGGAAAAGAACTTCCTTTGTTTGATCTATTGGTTTGCTAGTGCTCTCATAACAAAATACCACAGACTGGATGGCTTAAACAACGGAAATTTATTTTTCACAGTTCTGGAGGCTAGATTAAGGTATTGGTAGGGTTAGTTTTGTCTGAGACCTCTCTGGCTTGTAGATGGCCATCTTCTCCTTTTGTCTTTACATGGTTTATCCTCTATACCCATATGCATCCAAATTTCCTCTTCTTATAAGGACATCAGTCATATTGGATTTGGGCCCACTCTCATGATCTCATTTTAACTTAATTACCTCTTTAACAAACCTACCTCCAAGTACCATCACTTTGTGAGGTACTGGAGGGGTAGGACTTCAACACATTAATTTGGGGGTGGGGGCGGTTGGGGGTGTTGAGGACTAGCCCTAGGCTGGGGCACCCTTCCCCCCACCCACCACCCCCAAAGGAATTTAAAAAGCTCCTGC